GAATTTTTAAGGAATTTTTAAGGAATTTTTAAGGAATTTTTAAGGAAATGAGCCAAGCTCAAAGATCCCAGGCCAAAGCCACTGGCCCTGATCCACACTGCACACGAGTGGATCTCCAACAACTTCAGAGGTCACAGAGAAGGTTCAAACACTGCCAGGGATCCTCCTCAGAGATCCAGAAACTCTCTGACAGCCCCATGGATGTCCCAGCAGTGCCCTCTGGTGTCTCCAGACACCTCATTCCCCAAAAATGGCCTTTTTTCCTACTGGAAAAAAGGCATAGGAAGGCCCAGGGATGGAGCTGAGGAGCACCAAGACCCCCAGGGAATGTGGTCCCCTCCCATCTCCAGCACCCCTTGGCCAAGCTCCAAGTTGCTTCCTCGCCTGGATCCACCAGAAATGAGTTCAGGGATGAAGGTGAGAGCAGGGAGAAGACATTCCAGCAGAAATGGGAGGAAAATAAGGACAGCAGAGTTCTGTATCTGTCCTGAATCAGCCCCTCGGTGACATCGAGTTGCTGTAAGTGATCCTTGGTGACCTTGGGGACACTAGGAGCCACCAGCAGGAGCTCAGAGCACCTCAACCAAAGCCTTCCAGATTTTGTGGGGCTACGGGACAGGAAAATCCTGGTTTTCCAGCCAGGATGAGCTTCAACTCATCCTTAAAACTCAACCCCAAAACACACCTTAACGAGGAAAAAACGATTCCTGAGGGAAAAAATGACCACCAGGATCAACTCCTTAATAACCCCAGAACTCCTTCCACCTCCAGCTCCAACTAAGACCTGCAGGCTTTATCCCATGGGATATTCCTATTCCATACAGGAGGAGGCACCAGTTGTTTTTCCAGGGAAGAGTCAAGCCCGGGTGCCATCCCAGGGCGGACGTACCGGCGTAATAAAAGCGAACGTCTTCAGGAAGGGGCTCGTAAAGGGGGGCAAAGTAGGGGCCCTTGTGCTCCAACTGCGTCCACTTGACTCCATCTTCCTTCTTTTCCTCTTCCCACCTGGGAGAAGACACAAAGGGGGGACCCATGAGAACATCCCAAACCCCGGGGTGAAGTTCCAGACCCCAAGTTGGCCCAAATTCCAGGTGAAATCCTGTTTTCTTCGCTCCCCTGCCTTGGTTTTCCCGTTGTTTGAGACAACGGAAGCCACGAGGGAATCCAGGGAAAGATGTTTTGAGGAAGGGGGTGGTGATATTGGAGGGATTCAGGAGAGGGAAGGGACCTTAAGGATCATCTCATTCCATGGGAAGAGACACCTTCCGCTATCCCAGGTCGCTCCAAGCCCCATCCAATCCATCCTGAACAATTCCAGGGATGGGGCAGCCACGGCTTCCTCTGGAAAACCTGTGGCTGTTCCTCGGGATCATTCAGAACTTTGATTTTATGCAAATAAGATTTGAACACATCTCCCCCCTCAGCCAGAAAAAACAGGATTTTCAAGTCCCCTTTTCCAAGTCTCAGCTGGAGCTTCAAAATCAATCAATTAATTAATCAATCAATCAAATTTAAAAGTTAAAAAGTGTCAAAATAACCTGAAAAAAAAAATCAGAAAAGCATGAAAAGGGGGGAAAAAAACAGCTCAGGGGTAAAAGAAGAGGGTTGGTGACAGCACAGGATGAGGCACTGGCCCTTTAATTCCAGCAGCTCCAAGGGAAAAAAAAGCCAGGGATTGCTGGGAAAACCCAGGCCGAGAGAGAGAAATTCCTGTTTCTTCCTCGGAAGTGGCCCCAGAAGCATTTGGGATTTTTTTCTCCTTCCCCCTGGAAACGTGGAGGAATGAATGGGTTGTAGGAAAAGGTGGATTTTGTCAGGAAAACACAGGGAATAAAAGGATATTAAGGAAAAAACAACAAGCTACAGGAATTTGGGATGGGAAATAAATGGGGAATAAATCCAGTGTGGGAAAAGGTGGATCTTCCCACAAAAATAGAGGGAAAATACAAGATACTAAGGAAAAAAATCCATGAGCTACAGGAATTTTGCTGGGAAATGTGGAGGAATAAATTCAGTGTGGGAAAAGGTGGATTTTGCCAGAAAAACACAGGGAAAATAAAAATATTAAGGAAAAATCAACAACCTGCAGAAATTTGGGATGGGAAATGTAGAGGAATAAATCCAGTGTGGCAAAAGGTGCATTTTGGAAGAAAAACACAAAGGGGAAAAAAGGATATTAAGGAAAAAAAAAAAGCAGTGAGCTACAGGAATTTTAGATGGGAAATGTAGAGGAATAAATCCATTGTAGGAAAAGGTGGATTTTCCCACAAAACCACAGGGAATAAAAGGATATTAAAGAAAAAACAATGAGCTACAGGAATTTTGCTGGGAAACATGGAAGGATAAATCCATTGTGGCAAAAGGTGGATTTTGCCAGAAAAACAGAGGGAAAAAAAGGATATTAAGGAAAAAACAATGAGCTACAGGAATTCCATGTCCTTCACAACGATTTCCTATAAAAAAATCTGCCTGGATTATCCCAAACGTGTTGGGGAAAAAGGGGAAAAGAAATACAGACCCTCCAAAAGTCCCTGATAAAGGTTCTGCTCTCTTGGAAGATTTTTAATATATTTTACTTTTATTTTCTATATTATTATTTATTTTTATTTTCAATATTTTATATAGATTGTTCATATATTTTTCTATATTACTATAATATGTAATATTATAATATATATTAAACATATTTATATATAATATATAATTATTTTATACTATATGTATAAAAATATAATTATAAACTATATACCAATATTCTATTTTATATTATATATTACTTACATTGTATAAATATTAAATAATATAAATATTAAATATTTTATATAATAGTTTACATTAATATTTAATAACATTATCTATTATATGCAAACATAATTATATTTATATTTTTATTTTTATATATTTACCTTTATTTTTATTTAATTATTATATATTTCTATTTTAATATTTGTATCTTTATATTTATTTATTATTATACATTTATTATTTATTTTACATTTATCTTTATGGTCATTATTTTATATTTCTTTTTACTTATTTATTATTTATTTTATATTTTTACATTTATATCAAATAATACAAATATTAAATATGTAAACATTAATATAAAATATTACACATAACATATCTACTAAGTACAGATATAAATATAATTATGGTTCTATTTATATTTATTTTTATGTATTTATTGTTATATATTATTTATTTTATATTTGTATGTTTCTTTTTACTTATTTATTATATATTTATTTTTTTAGTATTTTATATTTACATTTATTTACTATTTATTTTATATTTTGTATTTATACTTTATTATTTAGTTATTTTATATTTGTATCTTTATATTTCTTTTTATTTATTATTTATTTATTTTATTTTTTCTATTTCTATTTTTATATATTATATATATATAACATTTGTATTTTATTATATAATTTGGGTAAATTATCTCCTTGCACCGACTCCAAGCATCTCCCTTCCCTGGCTGGACACCAGGAAAGGCATTTCTGGAGAAATAACTATTAAATATATTGTTATAAGGATAAAACCAACTATTAAATAAATACCTTAAATAATAAATTATAAAGAAATATCTTCAATTACGCAGACACTGTTGTGTTGTCTCTCTCAGCCCCTTCGTCCTGCCAAGAGTGACGAGTTCAGGGCTTCAGAAAATCCAGCGAAAGAGTTAAAAACTGGGACCAAAATTCAATTTTCACACTTTTGCCCTTAGAAATAAAACTCAACATTCAATTTTCAGTTTTACCCCAAGAAATAAAACTCAAAATGCAATTTTCAGTTTTACGCAAAAAAATAAAACTCAAAATTCAATTTCCACACTTTTACTCCAAGAAATAAAACTATTCAATTTTCAGTTTTACCCAAAGAAATAAAACTATAATTGAATTTTCACACTTTTGCCCTTAGAAAGAAAACTAAAAATTCAATTTTCAGTTTTCCCCCAAGAAATAGAACCAAAAATTCAATTTTCAGTTTTACCCTAAGAAATACAAGTCAAAATTCCATTTCCACAATTTTGCCTTAAGAAAAAAACCTCAAAATTCAATTTTCAATTTTACCCAAAGAAATAAAACCAAAAATTCAATTTTCACACTTTCACCCTAAAAAATAAACCTCAAAAATTCCATTTCCACACTTTTACCCAAAGAACTCAACCCAAA